CAATGTCTCAAGTCAAGCAATCACTCAGTAATTATGAAAATAAAAGGTTTTACATTGATGCTTTCAATTCATTGCCAATTCATTGCCATATGGGCATTACTCCATAAAATAATTATCTAAATAGTTCTAATAATATGAAATTATTAGAATGAGTTTCTCCATAATCTTTACCAAATATAGTGAAAGAATACATTGTATCTTATAATAATCAAGACTATGGAAAACATAGAAGCAGAAATCATCAAGGGTCAAATCTATGTCATCAAAAACACATTGAACAACACAATGTACATTGGCAGCACTAAACAAACACTACACAAACGGATGGCAAAGCATAGGCATGATGCTAAACATTGTGGAAAAATGCTGATGCATCAAGAAATGAACAGACTTGGTATAGACAATTTCTTCATTGAGCAGGTGATATAATAGCCGAACAGCAGGCATAACTAAATGAAAGAAAGGCAGGAAGAAACAAACAAGAATATTACATAGATAAAAAGGACATGTTCAAACAGCGATGTTTCAACAATATTGATACAATAAAAGCACGCGACAAAGAACGCTATGAAAGAGACAAAGACAAAATCAATCAACGAAAGAAGAAACACCGTGAAACACATATAGAGACATACAAAGAAAGAGACAAACAGTATTACTACGAGAACAAAGAAAAGCGACTACAAAACCACAAAGCGTATGTTGAAGCAAACCCAGAGAAAATGAAAGATTACTATCACCAGTATTACCTAAAAAACCGTGAGAAGAAACAGGAATACAATAGACTACGCTACAACCAACTGAAGCTGGAGAAGGAAGCGAACAAGGCTTTGGACAAACATAACAACTTGCAAACCCAAACCATTATGTAAAAGGGATTGTGGGAAAATTAGGAATGGGAAACATATTGAAACTGCTCAACGGTTGCCATCGGGTAAAAAATCAGATTGGGGTGAGGGATACATCAAACATAAACAAGATGAGTTATACAAAATTCCTACTGGTTTGATTAGTGATATACTTGTTAAAACCCACCCGCCCGATACCTTGTAGTCGTCGAGGGAGGTGCCGTCTGACAAACAGGACTCACACGGCAGACCGAATTACGGATACGATGTCAGTCCTATGTAAGAAGCTTAAAATCCGACAGCTTAGTATTAGGAAAGGAAATACCCTACTATAGTATTGTGAAATGACTATTTCCAATCCTCTATTTCACTGTTGCGAAATGCACGTTTCACACTGCTGAAACACCACTAGAAACAAGGAAAAACGGTGTTTTGGTTTCATCATTGTGAAGTGCTCTCTTTCAGAGCAACCCCTAGCCAAAACTACTTAAAGAAATATTACCTTATATATTAAGAGGAAAATGAACGGTGATGAAATCAATAATTATATCAATAAAAAATGCCATGATTGTTGTCACTTCAAAAAAGAAAATATGGAATTGTATAAATTGAATTTACTTAAGGAAATGGTGAATAATATTATTAACTATTCAATGGATGGTGAAGAAGACATATGTAAGAATTGTAAAAATTGGAGAGATAATCAAATGTCTGTTGGGAATAAAAAGAATACATACTAGAAATGTAGAAGATGAGATTTTTAATATTCCTAACTGTAAATAAAATACCACCTTATGATTATGTTAAACAGTTTCTTAAAATCAGTAAGAAAAATATGAAATGATTGATGATATACTATGGATGTTGGGTTATAGTCAAAAGAAAGGAGAAGATGTTAAAGAACATATCAAATTATTTGTTGGAAGTAAAAAGTTTAATGTTCAAAATACAGTGGGAGATATTAATATTATTTTTAAAATGATGTATGAAAGAAGTAAGACAAATCAATTAAATTATTATCCTGAACTGAAATTATAATCAGAATATAATAATAACATGTAAAATCTTATATGTTATAATTACACTGAACTTTTAACCTATACATGAAAATTAGTGAGAAAAACACTAACAAAACAAATACACCACCAACATCCCAGAACTTGATAACTACTAAAAGGGTTAACTCTTTCAAATGAAAAAAATGTCGGCCCCCAGCCCAACAATGAACAAGGGGGGCAATTACCCAAATGATTACCTTAACGAAAACGATATATAAGCTCCCCAAAAACACCCTTTTCAAAACGAATAAGGGGGAACACAGATTTGAGATTGACATAAAAACCAGAACAGGCAACCATCAACAGGCCACCCCCCGGGCCCCCCCTTTTTACCATTTTTTAGGGGGGGGGGTCCACGGCCTGGAACATATATATATATATATCCCGACGGGTGCACTTGCAGGCGCTCTCTCGCCTAGGCGCCGCGCATTTTTCATCCATCCAGCCTTGCTTTATTGGCGCTTCAGACATAAGTACACTTGAGCGACATGCGCGTGGGCGGGTGTGCTTACCATGTGCTAGCGCAGAGCAACTCTGCGCAACCTTGACAACAGAACGAGTTCGAACCTGACCAAACAGCCAAGAGAGCATGCCACATAACTCAGCTCAACATCGAATCATGTCCACATGAATAACATTAGCCCCCCACCCCCCCCCACCCCCGCTTCAAACACACGTGAAGAAAGTATCCATGTTCGTTTGAAACATGAGCACAAGGGACTCGCCATGCTGATGCAGTGAAAACACTAACGAAAAACGCGGACGGAAATCGTCTGTTTAGGGATAACCGGCATGTGCTGCGAACACTGGTAAAATGCATGCAAAAGCACCACGGGGTCTCACCAACGAAGCCTGGAAACGCACCCGTTAGCATATATATATATATTGTGTATATGTGTAAATATATATATATATAGTCTGTGTGTGTGTGTGTTTGCGTGTCTGTCCCTTCAGCTGGCGTCCTCTTTGTTGCCCTTTTAAGCCATAACATTCCACCTTCGTTGTTGGAAGTCGGCACTTCTGCCATAGTCTTGCATCAATTGCTAGTGCAGCTCTCCATGGTGCATGTTCTGTATTTTGGGGCAGGTTCGGGGGACTGATAGTCAGGCGTTGAGTCCTGGCGAAGAAAAGTACCCTCAACACACGAAGCAGGATTCGGAGCAAAGGCAAATCAATCCCCCAAAACTCGGCACAACTCATCGTGCACTCTTAGATTAGGTCCTAGACACCATTGGTATTGGGAGTGGGCCACATTGTCACTTTTGGGAGGCCCTTGAAAACCATGGAAAATGCTGACAGAGCGAAAAGCAACTGAGTGGGTCTCGCCCACCTTTGAAACCAACACTTCCTGGATGACTGATTGATTCTCCGAAACGAGAAGGCCTTTTGAACCAGATTGGGTTTGCTTCTTGATGTTTTTGCTTGTGCTGTGCACAAGGGGGTTTAGGGACAGCAGGTTGGCGCGCTCCCGGCCCGTTCCGATATCGATATGCCTCCCGAAATGGATGATGAACTAGCAGGTTGCATCAACTCTTTGCTCATCACAGACCTGCGGAACGCCCGGAACCATCCGTAGCTTCAACAGAAAATGGAGCTTCCTTGGATTGACAACTCTTCTCGCTGAGCCGAATTCAACAAGTTCGACGCACAACGCGATAAATTGGTCTTCCTTCATTCAAGTCCACTAGACGCAATGGTGAGTGCTGCCTAATGGTGTCAGCGAACGGCCTAAGTTGCATCTCAGCATCTCCTTTGGCGCACGAGGGAGGGGGGGGAGTGACTCGAGGACTTGGCTTACCGCTGTCGCATGGCTTTTGCCAGGCCTCGCGAGTGCCTCGCGGACAGGCTGGCTTGCGATTTCGGCGAGAACTCTCATGCTTGCGCACTTGTTGGAGGTTCACACCTTGTTTGGCTGCTCCTCTGTCCAGAAACAATCACATCATGTCAGTGACCGCTGAAGTCCGTCCATCAGCGGAACATGGTCGGTTACAGGGGTAGAGAAAGCCCTCCACGGGCTTCTAACTGGCCCAAGCGGTGATCCTGGCAACCAGACCAACCGATGCAGTGCCACGAGAGAGCCACGTCTCGCTGTGTCGCCGGACTCGTTGCTGTCTTCAGCACTGTTGCAACGGCCAAGAAGAGCGCGGCGCATGCAGGTTCCAGGCAGAGATCGAAGCACGCATGCAGGCACGAACCCAGGGCATACAAGTGCGTGTGGCTGATCGACATTTTTGTGGTATTTAAGACGTGAACCTTATCTTAAATATCTCCGGCTTGCTCTTGCTCTTGAACAGACTTGGGGTGCGGGCTTTCCGCCTCGGTTCAGGCAAAGCGAGCTGGCTCTGGCCAAAACTTGGCCGGCGCCCTGGCACCCTGGCCTTGGTGGCCCTTTCGTCCTGGTGAACCACTGAGGCACCTGTTCATATGGAGGAGGAAGAAGAGCAAGCAGAGGAGGATGAGGAGGAAGAGGAAGGAATGCTGGAAGTTCCAGAGGACGGAGTTGCAAGCAACAGAAGTTATTTTATGTACTGAAATGCCTTCCAGATGATAGCCGTTGCCCGTTTGAGGACTCGGACGCTCATGAAAGCTTCCAGGGCAGTGAAGACTCCGGATGGTGAGAGGGAACATGCAATGCATGGAGGGAATGCATCCCGGGTGTCATCTCAAAGAGATGCCCTGGCTTGTTAATTTGCAGCCTGAAGGTCATCGAGGGACGATGCAAGTGGCTCCAGACAGTGGGCTGGAGTGGGCAATGGACTGTATTTCCAATGCAGTGCAAAAGGTGCATCAGGCAGAGCTGGAGAAACAACTTATCCAGGTCACTCCTTGTGATAGAATCCGGAAGGCGGTTGTGACGTACGAGCGTATGCTGAGATTAGGGAATCCGGCCACTGCGCCTGCAGGCAGGCTCCGGACTTCAGAAGCAAGTTCCTTTCCCACTCAGTGACTCTCAGTGAGCCAAAATGTCTTTGAGTGCCAGACGCATACCCGGAGGCAGCAAATCAATGAAACATGTGTTGGGCGATTTGTTGAACCTGTTGCGCACCAACTCCTTTTGCGGCGAATCGGTTGCGTCGATTGCTATTCTTCTCTCAGCCTCGGCTCAAGCTCTGCATCATTGGATGCTCGCGGAGGGACAGGAGGCAACTTGGCTCCGAATTCGCACTTGAGCATCATTATTAGCCTTATGTTTATAATTATTATTATGTTTAGTATTATTATTGTTATGTTTAGTATCATTATGCTTATTGTTAGTATTTATGATTATAATCATTATGATTATATTATTATTATTATATTATTATTATTATTATTATTATTATTATTATTATTATTATTATTATTATTATTATTATTATTATTATTATTATTATTATTATTATTAATTATTATTATTATTATTATTATTATTATTATTATTATTATTATTATTATTGTATGTATATACATGTAATAGTTTTATTTATTTAGTTGTTTGTTTGTTTACTTGTTTGTTTATTTATTCATCGTTACTGTTGTTATCATTATGATTTGTTATCATTATTATTGTGGTTATTATTATTATGGTCATTATATTTATGTATATTTATTATTTATTATTTACTATCATTATTAGTAGTAGTATTGTTAGTATTATTGGACATATTTCTTATTCAATACATGGATGTGTGATTATGCCCTCCATCTTTGCAAGGAGAGCAGTGGGCGATTGGCTGTGTGCCAACAGGGGGACAAAAGCAGCAACTTGTTTGAAGGAAAGCCGGGATTCACGGATGTGGTGAATCGCGTGACAGCTCCTTGCTGCAACAGCAAGCTGAGTAGGCTGAAAGTCTATCATGCTTAGCCGTTGGCAAACTACAGAAATCATAGGGATTCTAGCATTGGAATTATCGTGCAGAACAGCAAACGGATGGCACCTGTTTTTGAGGATGTTTTGATAGGCCCTGCCTGCCAGGTTGCTTCCGGGTTATGCCACGGTGTCGTCATTGTTTGTCCGAGGCCTCATGGGGCAGGGCCTTTGCAAATGCGACCAACATGAAGCCACAAGCGCCAACATCGATGTTTCCTCAGAAGCCTGGCTGCATCTTTTGCTGCACATGCCATCAGCTCAGTGATCCGTTTTTAGTGTTTTCCTAGCTGATTTTCCTCACGGTAGCATGTTCTACATACAAGACACGAGCATTGTTAGCGTGCATTGAGGTCCCAGTCCTGACGGACCAGGTGAAGCTTGCCAAGGCATTGGCAGAAAAAGCGGTTGTAACGTGCTGTGAATAGTGCGCTTCATGCAATATAACCTCATATTAGATGTGTCCAGCTGCACACACATAGTTGTATCGATACAGCAGTGTCCGGCTAGACCCTGGCAATCCATGAACCCAGCTGCCCTGCCTTGTTTGATGATTTCATAGCTGGACAAACAGATGATCCTTTGTGTGGTGGGCCTTCTCCCTTGCAGCGTGCTTAAGGCCAGTGTGGTGCAATCTTTGGTGCCAGGCGTTCTCCCTTGAAAGGTTCTTCCCACTCCCTGGCGTGGTTTCACTTTGACACTCTGAGCGCTCATCAGCGAGCCCTGAAGAGAAGACGTGACTGAAATGAGCCTTTCCGCGCAGGCAAGCTTCATGGGTGGAATCCTGAATGGCTCGTGGTTCCGGAGAGGCGATAATGTGTTCCTGGGAAACATCAAGGACTGCAGTGGGCGCAGAAGTGGATGTCGCACTCAGGGACGAAGATTGCACGTTTTCGAGGCAATCGACGGCTAATTTTGATCTGGTTGTGCTTTGCATGTTCAGGACGACACGATCTCATGGGTGCCTGGGTTTAATCACCCGCCCTGCAACTTGACAGAGGCTGCAGAAGAGACAGATGAGCCAAAACTGGACTGTTGACGGAGGGCTCATGATAGGGTGTGTTTGCTTGGTGTAGTTCTTGTTCTCTCGGGGGTTTCGTTGACTGAGCATGACTTTTCAGTGATGGTTCCTGCTACTATCACTTGACGGGCTTGCTGTGATTGATTTCCCTGCCCTGTGGAGGTGGATTCACTTCGAATCAGCATCTTGTTGGAGGGGAAAACGCACAACGGAGTGACTTGGCTGGGCCTCTGCCAAGCTGAGTGTCTTTGGCCAGCCAAATTCTATCTTAGTTGTACCTCATAGCCAGCGTTTGCTTGGTAGTGCTCATCAGAGTTTTTGTTTCAATGTGTGTGACATGCTGAGGCTGTCTCGAAGAAGGGAACAGAGACCACGATAGTCTGGAGCGATGGAGAAGTTTGGTTCAAGAAGTGAGACTGGGGCTCCGAGCTTGCGCTCAACCTTTTTCAGGCCCATAATCTCAGAGCAGATACTTGCTATTGGGCAGAGACGTTTCACGGCCTAATATAGCGAATGGCAAATGCCAACCGCATAAATAGATACAAGCAAAATTGAAAGAAAACAGACATCATTTTAATGATAACATCAATAATATAATATAATATTGTGTGAATGCTTCATGTATGCACGGACCTCAGCCGTCGCGCAACCACGATCTGTGCGGGTGGCTAGCGCCGTTGGGATGTGGGGATGGGATGGGGTGATTGCATACGTTGTGTACTGAGCCGCTATCTCTATACGCGGGGCTAGGGGGGGTTTATAGATGTTGTGTGGTGCGTCGTCATTCTGAGGTTTGGAATGTTATACGGTTATACGTATGATTAGGGAGAAAATGGAGAGTGGATATTGTTTATTGTGTTGTTGTATCGAGGGGATGTTGAAGATTTACGATTATGAATACGGTTGTGTGAATTTAAGCATGGTTTTCGAGTGGTTTGGGGCTTATGATTGCTTAATAAGTTTTGTATTTAGAATTTTATTTATTTGTTTATGAATTGATTTCGATAATTTATATATTGGTTTTGATTTGTTTTTTCTTAAAACGAAATTTAATGGGGGATGACACGAAATTATTTATTTGTTACCTTAAAAAAACGAATTTTAGAATATATTGTTAATATTATTTATTGATGAATTATTTTGGGATATTTTGGGATATTTGTTGGGATTTATTGGGTTGTTTTTGGATATTTGGCGGGATTTATTGGGAATTATTTTGATGAGATATTTGGTGGGATGTGTTTAATGGGATATTTGGTGGTATTTATTGATGAATTGGTTTAAAGGATTATTTTGATATGATATATTAATGAATTGAAAAAAATATATTTAATATAATATATATATATATATTGATTATAAGTAAAAAGATTTGTGGGTTATTATACAGTTTTTTTTAAATATGTTTAATATTATTTGTTTTATGATTTTGTAGTTTCGGGATTTGGGGAAAGAGGTTGATTGGGAATATTTGTGTATTGAATTTGTTATTATTAGTCGTTTATTATAGGATTAAATATAGGGATATTAGATTAGATAATAAAATATATATGGTAGGAATATTGGATTTTCAATGTTTATGGATATTATGGGGGGTATTGTGGTTTCCGTTAAACCGATTTCGAGGATTTCTTGCGCTTCTTCGGCAGTCTTGGTAGGATTGTGGGGAGGGGGTGTGGGTAATAGAGTATAGGTACATAATTTCAATTTGAGGAAGATTTAGGTAGGATTGGATAGATTTAAATATATATTTCATAAAAATTGATATCTTTAATAGATCTTATTGTTTGAATCCATATTGTAGGTTAATGAATCGATTTATTTCATAATCTTATATAATATTTCTTTAATATGTGGTTATGTAATTTTGTAGATTAAATTTTTAGAAAATAATAGAGGTGGCATCGGGATTATAAAATTGGATTTCTTTAATTATATAGATTAGTAGGATGGGTTATTTGAAATAGATTATTTGTTGAATAAATTTGTTTGGTTTATTTTTTTGTTTTTTATTTTATGAAATTAAAGATTTATTGTGTTAAGCCCTAGGTATAGTTTTGGATGAAGGTTGGTGATACGGAGTCTGAAGATTTTTTATGTAATTTAATTATATATTTCTAGATATATATTTTGTTTTAAAAAAAATCTTTTTATATTGATTTATATCGGATTATTGGATATGGAATAATTTGCCGGATTGTATTAACGATATATATATATATGTAAAATTGAGCGTATATTTATTATTATGAGATTTATTGTTTATTAATAGAAGATGTTCATAGTCGGATCCTAAATATAATTATTAATTGAATTAAATTTCGAAATTATTTATTAATTAAATAATCTAAAATTAATCCGAATTTATATGAAATTTGTTTATCTCTATAAATAATAAAAATTATCGATAATTTTTTTAGGATGTATTTTATTTAGAAAATCAATAATAATATTAAAATTATATTTATTTGAATATATTAATAATTAAAATTATATAAATAATAATAAATTTGCAAAATTATGATTTAAAATTATTTTAATTTTTACCTTCCATATTTACGAGTTTATAACCATAAACACAAATATAAATATTTTTTGAATAATTTGGAATATATAATTACCTAATAAATTTTGCATTGAGAGTTTTATCCACCTATTTATGTGTTCAATTCCTTTTATCTCCAAATCAATCTCGAGAATTCAATATCGATTCCATTAACAAAAACCAAACCTCTTCTAAAAAAGAACCCAACACTAAATTAAACAAAACAAATTATTCATAACCTAAAATAACATGTAAAAATCATCCTTTTAAAGATTCAAATTAGATTCAAAATACCAAAGCACCAACATAAAATATAAACCCAACTAAACAACAACCTAGATTCCGCATAAGCCCCGCCCCTCGTAAGCCGTGTAGATTTATATAAACCTTTCCCAAAAAAACAATAAATAATAATTGTGTTTTAATTCTATTATATTATATATTAATATATATTATTTGTTAATAATATATAACGAGGGACCCCTATATAGGGGGGAAGGGGGACCCCCACATATACATTTAAGCTGCGACCACAATCCTATCGCACCCCCCCCCAATATATATAAAAATCCACTGTTGCTGGGTTTTGCCCCAAACATCAGCAAGAGACCAAAGCCAAACAGACCCATGGCAGACCCTGAAAAACTCCAGCTGCGCAAAAAGAAACGGCGCCCACACACAACAAACAAATTAGGATCCCTCCTGAAAGACGTCCCACTTCACGCAAGTGATCAACCCGACAAATAGGCCCTGAAAGAAACAAACTTCGCAAAAAAAAACGGGGGCCACACACAAAAAGAAAAATTACAAGCCCTACAAACAAGATCTCGCTTCACGAAAAACAGCAGGCCGACCCAGTCGGCCAACGCTAGGGTCTGAAAAAAAAAAACACAACTAGCGCAACAAAACGGCAGCCACACACAACAAGCAAATTAGACGCCCTACGCAAAAAAATCTTTTTTCTTTTAAAAAAGAAACACAAACAATCAACAAACAATCAAGTGGGTTAATGATAAGCCCGAAACAAAAACAAACTGCAAAAACACAAAGCGCAGCGACACACAACAAACAAGTTAAAGGCTCTACTTGCCAACAAACAATTGACAAAAAACAGCTGCCCGAACAAGCAGACCAATAACAGGACCTGAAAACAAGCCGCGCACAAAAAATCCAGAAGCCCCACTAAAAACATCCCACTTGACGAAGAGCAGCAGCCCCGACCAAACAAACAACTAGCAGGCCCTGAAAAACAATTTCGCAAAAAAGCAGCCGCACACAACAAACAAATTGGAAGCCCTACTAAAAGCATCACATTTTACGAAAAGCATCAGCCCGGGCCAGTGATAGGCCCTAAACAAAAGCTAGCTGCAAAAACACGGCGGCAACTACAAACAACAAGCAAATTAGAACCATTGAAGGTGCGACCGCCGAGGGGGTTAAGGCCCCACCGGCGACGGGGTCGGGGCCCGACCGCCGGCAGGGTCGGGGCCCGACCGGCGACGCGGTCAGGGCCCGACCGCCGGCGGGGTCGGGGCCCGACCGCCGACGGGGTCGGGGCCCGACCGCCGACGGAATTGGGGCCCAACCACAGGCCCTGAACAATATCAATCTGCACAAAAGAAAGGCAGCCACACACAAGCAAATTAGAAACTCTACCTTGACGAAAAGCAGCAGCCCGACCAAGCAGCCTAGTAACAGCCCTATAAAAAAATCAAGCCGCGCAAAAAAGGGTAGCAACCACACAACAAACCAGAAGCCCGACGAAGACATCCCACTTGCAAAACAAACAAGAGACCAGAAGGAACAGGAGACAAAGGAACATGATTGAAACGTATCTTGTTTTTTAAATGACCTTTGTAGTCATCTGTGTAGGTTACATTTTAGCGCCCGGTCACAAAGGAAATTGTGCGTGCTGTCGGGCCCCGACCCCGCTAGCAGTCGGGCCCCAACCCAATGAGGGAATATCACCTAATCATATATTTTTAGGTAGAACGACTGTTTTGAATTTATTCACCCGCCTTTTTTTGCGTGGCTGGCTTTTTGTCAGGGCCTGTCATTAGCCTATTTGTCGGACTGATGGTTTTCGTGAAGTTGGTTTTTATGTAAATTAGAGTCTTTTTTGTTCGCCGTGTATTTTGTGCGGCTGGATTTTTTCAAGGCCTGGCACTGACCTACTGGTCTGGCTGATAATTCTCGTGAAGTTGGCTTTTTAACTAGGGCTTCTAATTTGGTTGTTGTGTGTGGGTATCAATTTGTTATACAATTTTTCCTGGGCCTATTACTGGCTTGCTTAGTCGGGCTGCATTTTTTGTGATTTGGGCATTCTGCAAGAGAGTTTCTAACTTGTGTTTTGTTAATGGCTGCCGTTTTTCGCGGCTAAAGGCATTGTTGCGTCATGGGTCACTTGTTCTTACGCCCGGCGGGCTTAAGAACAAGTAAGCACTTTAGCGAATAAATGGCTAGGTCACTTGTTCCGGTTAGCCCCATCTTGTTCTTATGCCCGTCGGGCGTAAGAACAGAAAACGCTTGGGGCTGGAAACTAGTCAAGGCTTTTCCAGGACTCGTGGGAGCGGCGCAGTGGCAGCGTCTAATACCAAGCAACGTATTCGCTTTGTCGAATTACTTAATTCGTCGCACGGAAGCCCGTCATCTCGATCCACAGACGGCATCACTGGCATCACTAGCATCGCCAACATCACCAGCAATGACGTCTAGCTGATTCTCGCTCTGACGAATTAGCTAATTCGTCGCACGGACACCTGTCGCCTTCATCTACGGAGTGCATCACCGGCATCGCCAGCCCACGATCGCCATGGGGTGGTGTGGATCGACTTGAACCTTGGCCGGAGCAGGAAGTAATCACAGGGGCCCAGCTGAATTCTGTTATGCCTCGCTTACGGCGCAAAGCTCGTGCCCTTCAGCATGGCGCTGCGACGATGCGCTTGCTTGAGCTAGGAAACTAAACACCACTACTCTTTGGAACGAATGCTTCCTAGGGCTCATATCCGG